CCTTTCCCAGGGGGGGGGGGGGGGGGGGTAAACAGCTTTCACCTTTCACTATTTTTAATAGCTTCTGTCTGCATTTAAAGCTGTGAATCATTATGCCCTACTAGAACTGAGAGTGCATAAATTGTCTCTCCATTCTCCCATTGAGCTTGGGGAATTCCAGGCCGCACGCTGAGGGAAGCTGCTGCAGACAGGGGACTCACCTCACAAGGACACTGCAGAAGGACAGCATGCTCAAGCTCTAGGTCACTGAGGTGGAGCTGAGGGAGCCTCAGTGACCTTTCATCCCTGATACCTGAGACCTCAGGAACTGGGGGGGAGGGGAGGGGAGGGGTGTCTGGCCTATTTGGGGGTAATCCTGGAATCTTGATCTATTGCAAAGGCTTACACAGTGGCCCACTCCAGGGGAGAGGGGGAAACATGAATGCTTGTTTAAAGGTGATACAGAACACATCCTAGCAACAGGCTCCTGCAAGACAGCACCTAAACAGCAGGGACATAGATTGCTAAAACAATCGGCCCCAGCAAAGCCATAGAAAGACACCCAGAGAGTATTCAGTAAGGGGGTTTCTCTCTGCTGCTGTCTGCAGACTGCCATAAAAGGAGAAAATGACTCCTAAGTACTCTCTGAGTGAGTCACCCCAAAGGAAGGCATACCCAACTACCACAAGAGGTAGAGCCACTTCAGGAGATTTGTATCTCCGGTTATTCCTGTTCCTAGCAAATGACAGGAAGCCTCAGACTCAAGCCTCAGGGTTTCCCAAGATGTCAGCCATACGCACACCTCAGGCCAGGGTGGATCCTGCACAAAAGCAGGATAGTGGTGCCTATAAGCACAGTCAGCCCTGTATCAAAGGGCACAGAGGGTCCTGCCTACTTCAGCAAGGTAATGACAAATGGGCAAAAGGCACAATATTTGGGGTCCGAAGCCCTGCCACTTGCTGGCTATATGATCTTGGTCAAATCATGTAGTCTCTGCTCTGATACAAGGCCACATAAATATGTTAACAGAATTGTTTCCTCCTTCTGCCTACAGGGCAAAAATGGCACCCAGAGCTGCTGGCCAGGAGTCCAGTTACAGATGCCAATGGGAACCGAGGAAGCGGTGAGAAGAGAGAAGAAAATTCCAGATGGTGTCAGTTCCTTTGTATTTCCAACCCTTCTGGAGGGTTTGCCTGTGGTATCACTAGAGGTCCACCTGGACACTGACTCTGTACCTCAGTCAGCTGGACAGAACCTACTACACGCAGTCCAGTCAAATGAGACGCACACTTCCTGCTCTTTAAAAGCCTGGTAGGATATGTAACAAAAAAGGTTACATAATACTGACTCCAAGGCATTCCTCGGGATTTCTGAAAGATATTCCTTTCCCAAGTGGCCACATATCATCCACCCTTTGCTGCCAGCACATGGGCTATGAACAAAGCTGGTTAACTGCTCCCCAGACAAGCATGAATACTTCTGGCTCTCAGATACTTGGCTCTTGCTCTACTGTGTCCACAGTCAGCATCCAGTCCTGAACTTTCTGAGGCCAATGCTGAGACTGATGTAGTGGCCTTGCATGGGAGGTCTTCAAAGATCTATGACAAGGCCCAGCTCTGGTGTTCCCTCCTCCAAGAAACCTGTCTTGCTTTACTCCCAGGGATGGCTCCCTCCTTCGAAGGTGTGGTAGTTGCGTTGTGCCAGCCCTTGGGCGCATTTGGAGCCATGGTATGTTCCTCCACTTCCTGATCAGAATCCAAACTTCCAGAGGGTAGACAGCACCTCCTAGCCCTTTACCCATAGGAAGCACTCAATAATGTTTGATAAACTTGAAGAGCAGGACAGAAACATATGCACTTCATGGGTCAGAACAGTCAGGAAAGGCAGTCACAGAAGGAGTCCAAATTTTACAGCACACACACACACACACACACACACACACACACACACACACAATTTCATTCCCATGGTAGCAAGCCTGAGATTCAGAGAGGGTGAGAGGAGTTAGCAGGCGGCAGGCGAGACAAGCTGCTCTTAAGACCTCAGGGGTGCAGGACACTGGGCCAGGGCAAAGGAAAGTGCTGATGTCCTATTAGGAATAGCTGGGCTCAGCACCTCGAGGCCTGGCTGGGGACCCGGGGCATGGAGAAGGGGACCGGACCCCCCTCCCACAACCAGGCACACCATGCCAGCACCTCAGGGCCCACCTGGGGACCCGGGGCATGGATCCAAGAATTGGACACTCTCCACAACCAGGCACACTGCCAGCACCAAGGAGCATGCCAAAAACATCTCCTCCATGTGGGTGGCCCACCACAGCCACAATAACCACAGCTGCCACGAAGGTGGCTAGACACCACAACCACCACGTAGACGGTCCGCCAGCCACTGGAGTGCATTGACACAAGGAGAGTCACCAGCGAGATAAAGAAAGAAGAAGGATGTCTCTCTCCCCAGAGCCCATTTCATAGTGATGGAAGAGACATCTGCTCTATGATAATATTGGAGGACCTGATCACGCCTCTCAGCATTGGACAGATCATTTGGGTAGCAAATCAACAGAGTAACCCTTATTCTTTCAGAAGGAGAGAAGAAATCTAGGGTGATTAGAGGGGGGAGGAGAGAGGGAGGGTGGATGAGGAGGGATTGGACAAGAGGAATAAAGAATAATTATGATTTGTAACAATATATATCCTAGTAATATTGATTTGATCAACATATCTCAATGTTGAACCCCCAAAATATGTCTAATCAATTTTCATTCAATAAAAATTTTCTAAAAAAAGGAATAGCCAGGTTCTGGAAGCTCAGCAGAATCGAGCAAATAACCAAAGAACACCCACCTCTCAAAGGCCAGAGTCTTTGTCCACTGGCATAGCTAGAAACCATGGGAGCTTCAGAAAGGGCTCACTTGGTTAACTGAGAAATGTCACTCTGTGGACCTGAAGCAGGGTCCGGGCTGCTTTGTAATAGATCCGCGACATAACCAGCACCATCTTAGACAAGCCCAAGGACAAACTGACGCCGTCCACCTCCTCCCTTCCCCTCCCCCGTTCTCTCTTACAAGAAGCCTCATGGTGTCGGAGAAAATTAAACTTTCAGCGTCTCCGCATGCGCAGAACTCTCCATCCCCATGACCTAACTCAATCCCCATCCCGGAATGACGTCACCCAGCTCCTGGCCCCAACATACCCATATAAGCTCTACCACTCCCACACCTGGTGCTGTCCGCTTTCCAGGCAGCCCAAGGCTGTTCCCCACTCTGGTCGCAGCCTGGTAGATCCTTTTCCTTTAATAAAGCTTGAACGGTACCTGGCATCTGGGCTCACTTTCTCTCACTTTGTATCCTCATGGATGATCCTGCCTTTAGCGGTTTCCTGTATACAACATGCCTGCCTTAGTAATTAGCCCATAACATGCTCCAAAGTGACCTTCAGTGAGTGACTCCAGCAGGCTTGGGCTAGGTGAAGGGAACATTGGCTTTCTGGAGCCTTAGTTATGTCTGATAACACTTTCAGAATAATCCTGGTGGAGGTTACAGCCACATCAAGGTACTGTGCCTTCTGGATTGGTCTCTTGAGCTCCTTGCAAGAAATCTTTTGGTTCCTAAAATTTTGTGGGGCCACCTAGAGTGTGGCCATGCTTATGGAGAAAACTCGCTCTCTGAGCTGAAAACAAGGACACAGGAAGGAAGGACCAGATCTCTCTTCAACAGACCATGAAGCAGCAGGGTGTGGGGTATTGGCTGCAGCACTGTACCTACAGCCATGGTTGCTTTTTTTTTTTTTCCTTTTTGTCTTTTTTCGTGACCGGCAACGGATCGCAACCCTCAGTGTCGCGCCCATACCGGACCAGGACCGGCAACGGGATCGCAACCCTCGGTGTTGCACCCGCACCTCGCTCAGCCAGTGAGCGGCCGGTCTGTATGTGGGATCCGAACCCTCGGCGGGAGCGCCACCGCGCTCCCAAGCGGCGCACTATAGCAGTGCGCCACCGGGCCAGCCCCAGCCATGGTTGCTTTTTAGCAGACCATGAAGCAGCAGGGTGTGGGGTATTGGCTGCAGCACTGTACCTACAGCCATGGTTGCTTTTTTTTTTTTCCTTTTTGTCTTTTTTCGTGACCGGCAACGGATCGCAACCCTCAGTGTCGCGCCCATACCGGACCAGGACCGGCAACGGGATCGCAACCCTCGGTGTTGCACCCGCACCTCGCTCAGCCAGTGAGCGGCCGGTCTGTATGTGGGATCCGAACCCTCGGCGGGAGCGCCACCGCGCTCCCAAGCGGCGCACTATAGCAGTGCGCCACCGGGCCAGCCCCAGCCATGGTTGCTTTTTAGCACAAATGCTGCCCTAGAGCCCCTTACCCAATTGTCTTTATCTTACTCAGCTCTCTCCTAGGATGCCTGAATTTAAAGTTTTGCACATGCTCTACACAACTCCTCTGCTCAGAATTACAATGACCCTAAGTCTCTGTAATAAGGTAAGTGCCCCACATTTAAAAGTTATGTCATATCTGTGTTGGTACAGGTATAGAACATTTCTGCAAGGAAAGAAGAAAGTGTACAGAGTGTTAGCCTCCAAGGAGAGAGGGAAGGAGTGGGGATGTGGGGTGGGCTAGAGACCCTCTTTTCCTAGCAAAATCATTGCATCGTTTAGAGGAGATTGTTTTTTAACATCATCATGCATCACTTTTCCAGTTGAAAATAACAAAATTCAGATATTATACCCAAAGAGAAAAGCAGTCCACCTTGCCTTAATATCTCTGGTATGTGTGTGGCAGGTTTTTGGTACCAAAAAGAAAAAAAAAAAAGAGGTAAGGTTATAATGCTGTGATTTTGGAGTCCTTCCTTCATGTCCCTCCAGTAAGCTTCTGGCTTTCCAGAGGCTTCCACTCCTCACTCCGTGACTTCGTCAACTGCATGAGCTTGGACAAGTGTGGTGGAGTGAATGAACCCCCACCTCTTGGAGTTATTTGAGGATTGGAGCAGACCCACGAAAGGCAGTTAGCACACGGCAGTACTCAGTGAAGACGACTTTCCTCAATTACGTGGAGCTCTTTCCTTCTATCTACTTGTTCATCTACCTGTTCTCCCGACAGGACATTCCGACACTGGAAATGCTGGAAACAGTTGGCAAGTTTCCCAGGCCAGAAATGGTGACTCATTAGCATCTGTAATACAGAGCTTTCCAGAACAATTCCCATAGCACTGGACGGAATCTGTGTCTCAAAACAGGCATAGAGGACGGGCCCTGGCAAGTAAACCCCCTTTTCCAGAAACCTTTTTCCTTTGCTGCCCAGGAACATATACCAAGAGAGTGCTGTGGGCCTGCCGGCTGTGTGCCATGTGGATAGGGAACAGTCGTGAGAGCAAATGTAAGGAATGTGGGACGAAAGTCAGCTGCATTCCCTCCTGGAAAAACGAGCACTCGCCGAAAGTCAACACAGGAGAAACAAAGCACATAAAGGGGTTGAATCAGTTCCCAGGAACTCCTCCAGGCTCTAAGCTTAAGGGCAAAGAAAAGCTAGCTGTTCTAGAAACAGCTCCCTTATCTGATGGAAATTAAATTGCAGGCTATGAGCATGGTGTTTCTCAGTCGCTCCTGCTGTCTCTACCTGGTGAGGAACATTTATTTTCCCTAAGTTAAGCCTCCCTTGACATCATACCCAGACATAAGTTTCAAATTCCATGTTATCTTAGCACTTTTCAAGCTCTTGGATTTCACATCGGTTATCTCTAGAGGGGCACTTTCTACTGGTCTCTTGTTTGGGGTAAAGAGAAAAAGAGAAATTAGGGAAGAGGTTTATTCTTTCCTTTTGAGTTTCTGCCAAAGTTTGCACTCAGACCCAGCCAGAAACATCACTGCTCTAAGCTCCACCGCTTCTGCATCCCACACCCAAACACACATCACCAAAAGCTACATGAGAAATAGAGGAAACTAGCAAGCAGAGATAGTGCAGGGACAGTGGGACAGAGATGGGGACACAGTGACCTACTTCAAGCAGTTTCCAAAACCAAGCCCAACAGGTATTTATGCTGACCAAACAGCCAGGTACTAAGGCTAAGGTCCTTTTATTGTGCACGCAGAGCACAGAAATGACATGGGCACACCCCGGAGCTGTGGCATGGCTCTCCCTGGGCACGCCATCCTCTGCCACCCTCTCCCAGATGGCTATACCCCTGCACTCACCTCCTTGTCCCTGCGGGCTGCATCCAGAGAGACTGTGGTGTGACCCCTGTGCTCCTCCTGGCCACACTCCTGACAGATGCACTGCCGATCAGGGCAGCAGAAGGAGACCAGCGGGCTGTGGTGGGCAGGGCAGGTGCGCAGGTCACAGTCCTTCACCGGCTCGGTCAGCTGATGGCTGTGCAGTTTGCTATTCTCCTGGTGTGGCCGCAGGTGCTCCTCGCAGTAATTCACCATGCAGGTCAGACAAGACTTCACCGCCTTCACCCTGCTGGTCCCCAGGCAGAAGTCACACAGGATCTCCTTTTCCCCCTTGCTGTCAGGAGCTCCCTGCTCTGTGGAGCTGCTGCCCTGTCCATCTGTCTCCCCCCAGGGCCTTCCCAGGGAACTGACGTCCTCTTCTTCTGCCAGGCTGGCCGACCCAGAGTCTGGGCTGAGAGGGGCTAGAGGGTGAGTGGTGGCCCCGGGCAGTGGACCTGCAGCCATCAGATCCAACTCAGCCATCTGGGAGGCTCTGCTGCCTACGCTGTCCTTCCTCCCACACTTGGCCCAGGATCTGTGCAGCTCAAGTCAAAGGAGAGCCACGCCTAGATGACTGCAGCTGCCACCGGATTTTAACTGTTTCCTTCCTCCCAGAGGAAGCTCACTTACTCATTAGCCATGCTCCGAGATTGGATGACAGCCAGCTGCAATGACAACAAGGCAGCTGGATTACTCAGGCTCAGGACAGCCAGCTCAGGCCCCTCCTCAGGTCCAGCCCCGAAACTTCTATTCTGATGTGAATCTTTTGTATCCCATATGCTATGCTGAAGACTACATGTGTCTGTGGCTGCTGTGGAAAGGACTGGAGATTCCTGAGCTCTCTTTTAAGCCCACGTGTCTTTGTGTGGTCTGACAATCTAAATTTTGTTTTAAAAGGGATCCGAAATGGAAGGACTTCAGCAGGAGGGCAGACATTCACCACTTCTATTTCACAGACCTGGACATGAGCAGCTAGGAACAGGATGCCTATTTCAGACCTGGACCTTTCCATACCACCGTCTTGCACATTCCAGGAGACTGACTTCACATTGTGTTCAGTGGGGATCAGGAAGGTCAAGGAAGACCCTGTCTTCTTCCACAGAGAGCTCTGTTCAGATAGCCCTTCCAGGCTACACATGCTGCCCTGGGGTCCCCAGAGAGGGACATGTGTGAAGAAATAGGCCTTCTGCCCAACCTAACAAATGTTTCTAGACATGGTGTATTAGTTTGCTAGAGCTGCGATAACAGAGTACCACAGACAGGTTAGTTTCAACAACAGACATTTATTTCCTCATAGTTTGGGAGGCTAGAAACCCAAGGTCAAGGCGACAAAGGGTTGGTTTCTTCTAAGCCTTTCTCCTTGGCTTGTAGATGGTTCTCCTGCATGTTCACAGGAGCTTCCCTCTGTACATGTCTGTGTCCTAATCTTCTCTTCTTATAAGGACACCAGTGAGATTGGATTAGGGCCCACCATAGTGACCTCATTTAACCTTAATTAGCTGTTTAAAGGCCTATCTCAGCTGCCGCCAAGGTGCTCCATCCTTCCGAGAAAGCTGAGGCCACGCTGGGGTGAGGCCCTCACTTCACCCAGTGACTAGCACCGTACAAGGCAGCGCCAGCCTACACTCGCCCGCACCACGGCCTGCATCTCCGAGTTCACCTGCCTCTACTTAGCTCATTCTGCATGACGACGAGGTGACCGTCATGGAGCATAAGGTCAATGCCCTCATTAAAGCAGCTGGTGTAAGTGTGGAACTTTTTGGTCTGGCTTGTTTGCAAAGGCCCTGGCCAATGTCAACATCAGGAGCCTCATCTGCAACACAGGGGCTGGTGGACCTGCCCCAGCAGGAGGTCCTGCCCCCTCTACCGCCACGGCCCCAGCTGAGGGGTAGAAAGTAGGAGCAAAGAAAGAAGAATTGAGGAGGCTCATGATGACCTGGGCTTTGGTCTTTTTGATCAAATCTCTTTTGTAATGCATTGAATAAAAAGCTAAACTCTAAAAAAATGAAAATACATAAAAAAAATTTTTTTAAATTTAAAATGACCCTATCTCCAAATACAGTCACATTCTGAGGTACTGGGGGTTAGGACTTTGACAAACAAATTTGGGGGGGAGGGGACACAATTTGGCCCATAATACATGGCCTTTGGATGAGACGGGAAGCTTCCAGCACCTGAGAAGAAGGAGCTGTGACATGTGACTGCTAGATGGGGTACACAGTGGACTCCAGATTTGCTGGATGCACGGAGGAATCTAGGATTAGTCCACAATACCTGGACCTAGACTTCTGCATCCTGGAAAGGTTCCACAGCTTTCCCCAGGATTCATTCAGATATACCTGTGGACTTAAATGGATTTGGAAAGCTAAGGGGAAGGGAGAGAGATGGGTGGAGTGGAAGGGAACAGTCCAGCCAGCCTGGAGAGCAGGGTTAGGAGGGTCCCAAGACACTCCACTCCCTGTGGCTCTGCACCCCTGGGGTGAGTTCTGCAGGCTTTGGATTAAACTAGATGGACACAGGGTCATTGTCACCGACCATGACATTTCAGAAATCCAAGAAACCCAGAGGCTACTCTGAGTTGGAGGGCTGGAACACTTTAAAAATTCATCCCAGGGGCTGGCCCTGTGGCACACTGCTACAGTGCGCCGCTTGAGAGTGTGGTGGCGCTCCCGCCGAGGGTTCGGATCCCACATAAAGACCGGGTCCCGCTCACTGGCTGAGCGAGGTGCGGGAGCAGCACCGAGGGTTGCGATCCCGTTGCCGGTCCCAGTCTGGTACAGGCGCGACACTGAGGGTTGCGATCCGTTGCCGGACACGAAAAAAGTAAGTTTGCTTTCCCTTTAATTCCTTTTTCAGAATGATCTGGTTCTGGGAGCTGAACTGGTCCACCCACACGCCATAGAGCCTTTGACCTTTCTGGAAAAGAAGTAAGACAGTTCCCTGTCTGGACCACTCCACAGCCTCAAGGGTGGATTAGATGTCAATGCAGCCTCGGTTTCCAGGTGGCCTCTCGCATGTCCTTCATTCTTTACCTCGTTATCTCATTCCCACCTTTTTTCTTCTTTCAGGAATTGTTTTTGGGCCTGTCCCTTTTCTATGGCTGATCTTTAAGGGAAGCTCATGAGCAATGCTCAGACCTTCATCAGTGACCTGTTGGAGCCATGAGCTGGTATTAAAGAAAAGATTATTCAAAAATAGTTGTTAAAGCATGGTAAGGAAGACTTTATTCAGGACCACTGTGATAGGTGTAGGGACCACTGCAACAGGGTCTTGCAGTTGGGGAGAGAGATTGGGCTCAACTCTGAATACAGCATGGGCAAGTGGGAATTTATAGCCAAGGAGCAGGGTGGGGGTCAGGAAATGGAAAATTACTAAGAGGAAACATCAGGGGTAAAAGAGATTCTGGCTAAACTGACCTAACAGGATTCTTGCTGAAGACAGGCCAGGGTGATCAGACGTCACCTGGGGGATAGTGGAGACTGAGGAACCTGGTCAGATATCAAGGATGATCAGATATAGAGGATGGGGTGTTCTTGCTAAACTGACTTAGCAGGGTTCTTTGCTAAAATTGGATTTTATAAAGAAGTGCACAGATTGGCCTAGCGGACTATCAGACATTCCATGATGACGTGGAAATCAGAAAATTTGAATTTTGGTCCCAGCCTGGCCTGGGCAAATCATTTGTCCTCTCTTAACTTCAGTTTCCTTGTCCACAAAATGAATGTGTTGGCCTAAGTTAGGGCTGGCAAATAGATTTCTGGTTTGGCTCTCTGGGGAATTAGGTTGAGGAGGGGTTAAGTTAACGTCTGAGCTTATTGGGAAAATGTGCCATGCTCACACCATGATATCTGGCATGGGCATGGATGGAGAGTGGTGGTCCCACTGGAGGCTTGTCTCCAGCCCTCTGGGGCCACAGAATTCCCCACAACTTCTAAATCCCCTCTACTGCCGACCATCAAAGCAGAGCCTTCTGAAGGACACTGCCCTGCCCAAGCTCTGATCCCACCTCCAGGGACTGTAAGGCATCTCATCAAGCCTCAAATTCCCTTGCTCAACATCTCAGCACCAGAAAATTGAGGTTATAAAGTCACATATGACTAAATGTGAATTCACTATCAAACAAAATGCTCCCCAGCCAATATGCCCCTTTCCTCTCCCTGGGCCTGGGGCATCCTGGTTATTCTGTCTCTTCATGAACTTTGCTCTGCCTCCTTGCCTTAACTGAAACTTGGAATGTCCCCTAAAGGCCTTGTTTCTCCTGCTGTCCCTCAGCTGGTGCTATTCCTCCTGCATATCTCAGAGCCCTGGTGGGGTGGGAGCGTGTCCTCCTACACCCCCATCCAACATCCACACTTTCCTAAGCCAAACCTGCCATCAGGAACGTTAGGGCCAAAGTGTGATTTGGTATTCTTTTCCAGAATTCAGGGAGGTTTCCCTTGCCAGAATTTTGATGACTCAAACTATAACAAGACATGTGGTAAGTAATTGGTAGGTAGGCAGGTAGTTACAGTCTTCCCTCGGTATCCATGGGGAATTGGTTCCAGGACCTCCTCGGATGGACACTCAAGTCCATGATAAAAAATGGTGTGGTACCTGCATGTAACCTACGCATGTTCTCCCTATACTTTAAATTGTCTCTAGATTACTTAGAATACCTAATACGATGTAACTGCTATGTAAATAGTTGTTATACTGCATTGGTTAGGGAACAATGACAAGAAAATGTCTGTTAAAAAAAGTCCTAAAGACCCAACTTTAAAAAAAAATTTTTTTGATCCGCAGTTGGTTGAATCCCCAGATGCAGAATACATGGGTGCAGAGGGCCAGCTGTATTAACCTTTCACCCAGCTGAGTTTGTGACAAATAATCCCAACAACTAACAAACTCTCAAAGTGGCACATTGTCGGGCTCTTTTGCCTGCCCATAATCCTGACGACGGGGCCAGTTGTCAAGCTAGGGCTGGGTCTGGAGCTCACAGACCCCTCAAGCCTGTTGTCTAGACTAGGTCACAAACCCTTCACACATCAGGCTGGGTCCCCAGACCCCTCACATGCCAGGCTGGGTCACCAGACCCTTCACACGCAGGTCTATGAGCTAGGTAACCAGCAAACAGGTCCGTGGAAGTAGGTTGGAGAGCATGGCCACGCAGAGCAGACATCTGAGGCAGATGCCAGCCAAGCCGCACCACCACGTGTGCACACTAACTCCACCCACATACAACTTGCTTACGAAGAATGCGCCACACCACCCCCAATCTGACCTAAGGGGAGGGGGCCTGATTAAATTATTCTATTTTCCCAACACATATAAACAATGCACTCCAACTATAGTAGATTGAATTATGTTCCCCCAAAACTCAATGAAGCTTGAATTGTATCCCCCACGTTTTATGTATTAGAAACTTAGGCCCCACTGTGACTGTTAAGAGGGTGGGAAATCCTATTATCGTAATTGAAAAGTGGAGCCTTGAAGAGGTGATTGGATTTTAGGACCGTGTGGTAGTGAATG